TTAATCTCCTAAGAGTTCTATCAATGTCAGGATCAAAGACAAGAGTAGATTTATTTTTGTTTTTGCCACGCATATACAACTAAATACAGATATAGTATAATGAAAATAGAAAACTGCACATGTAATGTAATATTTGTAGAAAATTTAAAGAAACAAATGCTCAATCTAGTTATTTTCCTGTTACTAATGATATTGAAACAAATTATTCCTCGGCAACGGCGTCAAAAACTTGTTACTTTTACAACTGCTGTTGCACTGAAAGTAAACTGACTAGCAAGTATACTAGTGTTGTTGTAGCAAGTTATAAAAAATCTTAGAATCAAATTGAGTTCCAAGTATCGTCATCAGGGAATAAAGTTCTCAGTTACCACTTCACAAGATCACAATTAGTTGAGCTTTACAAATTTCAGATGGATTTGGTATGAATGTATCAAAAATGAAATTAGAAAGTAAAACAGAACAGTTAGTACAAAAGTATATAGTAAACAGATGTAGAAAGAGTAGTTCAGAAATTGTTTCACCAAAACTTCAACATTGAATCAATAAAGTTCTGAACTTTCAAGCATATAGATGGAATGACAATCAGTTTCACGTTGTATTAATCAAAGGACAATCCCTTGCCTCAATGAATCTAGCATCTAATCAAATCACTCCAATCCCTTAGATCTAATCCAATCAAATGCTGCATTAAGTTTGAGAAACCAAAAGATTGCAAGATTAAGATATCTTATCCCTAAGAAACCAATAACCTTGGCAATTAATTCAGATATGAGAAACAAGTTCAATTCCCATTGATAAGAGTTTCTCTATGATTAGTTGATCAAATTTCCATTCAATCACTACTTTAACAGCAGAATCAATCACTCAATCCAATCCAAAACTCAAAGTTCAGATCCAAAATCAATTCAACATTTCCATTTCATATTCACAGTTCCTATCCACAAAGAGTTTAAGCAAACATTACAAAAAGAGAAGAGAAGAGAAGAGGAGAAGAGAATGAACAAAGAAGAAACATCTTCAAGCCAATCTCCAATCTGATCCCTCAAGAAATGAAGCTTGGTGTTCGTCCTCAATCTCCCTCTCTGACTCTCTCAACAACAAAAACAAATGGAAAATGAAAAATGAACAAAAAACTACTAAATTCTTGAGCTAACTGCCTTTTATAGAATTTCCGCTCTGCTAGCGTGATCACTTTTTCCAGCAATAGTAATCACGCAGAGGCTAATTCTTCGTTTCCTCCACTTGCGCGTGTTCACTTTTGCTGGTGATAGTAGCCACGCGTACTTCAAAGTGTTCACTTTTGTTGAAAATAGTGGCCATGCAGAAGCTTCCCTTACTGATGTCATGCGCGTGTTTACTTCTGCTAGAAATAGTGAACACGCAGAAGCTACCTTCTTGCGCGTGTTCACTTTTGTGGATAATAGTGAACACGCGCAGCTACTCTTCTTGAAGGACTCTCTGGAACGCTCACTTTTTCCAGAAAAAGTGATTGTGCAGAAGCTCTTCTCATTGCAACCTCTTTGGAACGATCACTTTTGCCAGCAAAAGTGATTACGCAGAAGCTCTTTTTCATTTTATGGTTCTGGAGTGATCACTTTCACCAGCGAAAGTGATCACTCAGAGGCTGTTCTTCAATTATCAACTTCTTTCCTCCAATTTTTGCTACTTTTCTTCTATTTTTCCTTTGATCATCCAATCCTCATGAACTTAGCTCAGAATTCCCTACAAAAGCATACTTGAAATGTCACTTTTTACATAGAAAATCAATGAATTTTAAAATAACTATGTTTAAAAGTGACATGCAACATTTTATTATTTTTTTAAGGATTTTCTACTATTTCTAGCCTGTTTTCTTTATTAATTGCACTAAAAACTATTGTAAAATACTAGTAAAATATGGATTCATCAACTACGCGCAACACCTTCAATTCTGCATGCTCTGGAGTGATTACTATGAACTTTCATAGTAACCACGTGCAGACTTAGTGGATTCAGGGCTGCTGTAGTTGTCACTTTTAACTTTGAAAGTGATCACTTTGGTCCCTTTGCTGAAAGTAGCTTGTTGTAGTTGTCACTATTAATGTTGAAAGTAGTTACTTTCACCTAAAATTCCTCAAAATCCAATAATTCTTCAAAATAAGCTTGGAGATTCCTGCCACATTATTCAAATTATCAAAACATGCAAAATAAACTATCTTAATCAATGTAAATTAACCAAAAACTAAGAATTCTATATTATTTAGCCTAACTGTAATATTCATCTTATTTACATTATCTAAGTCTATTATTTTCTATAAAAAGTAATAAATGATGTATAAAAATTTAGTAAAATGTGGATTCATCACCAAGTCAGAAAAAATAGCTAACATGCACCTTTGAAATGTAGCTGGAGCATTACAAAGCTCAAAAGACATCCTTCTATATGCAAATATTCCAAAGGGAGAAGTAAATGCAGTCTTTTCTTGGTCAATTGGATCTACAGCAATTTGGTTATAGCTAGAATGCATGGCCAACTAACCTTTCTAGCATTTTGTCTACAAAAGGTAGAGGAAAGTGGTCTTTTCTGGTCACATCATTTAGCTTTCTATAATCTATGCACATCCTCCATCCTGTTACTGTCCTTGTAGGTATTAACTCATTTTTTTCATTTGATACCACAGTCATTCCTCCCTTTTTAGGTACCACTTATACAGGACTCACCCAACTGCTGTATGAAATAGGATATATAATCCCTGCATCTAATAGTTTTATGATCTCCTTCCTTACTACTTTCTTCATGGAAGGATTTAACCTTCTTTGAGGCTGCACAACTGGTTTAAAATTTTCCTCAAACAAAATTCTATGTTTGCAAAAGGCTAAATTTATACCTTTTAATTCTGAAATGCTCTATCCTATTGCTGATTTGTGTTCTCTCAAAATTCTCAGTAACTTCTCCTCTTCTTCTTCCTTGAGTTCATTGCTGATGATGACTGCATTTTCATATTTTTGGCCCAAGAATGCATATCTCAAATGAGAAGGCAGCTGTTTGAGCTCCAATTTCTGAGTTTGCTCTTCTTTCACTTTCTTTTTCAGCTATTCTTTGATTGATTTTTCTGTAGGGGTTAGAACTGGTAGAGATTCCAATTGCTGCTCAATTTCCAAAACGTATTTTTCTTTATGCATCAAAGATTTAGTATTTCCTGCAGCTATGGTTTCTCTCAACATAGAAATTTCATCAAACTCATGAAAAGGATAAAGAGTAATAAGAGAATCCAATATATCCACTCTCATACATGTGTTATCATCAATTGAATATTTTAATGCTTCAAACACATTAAATATTACCTTTTCATCTTGAACTCTAAGCTTGAGCTCTCCCTTTTGCACATCAATGAGACCTCTTCCAGTTGCAAGGAATGGTCTGCCTAGAATCAAAGATATGTTCGCATCTACCTCCATATCTAGAATGACAAAGTTTGTAGGAAAAATGAATTTATCAACCTTAACCAACAAATCTTCTACCACTCTATAGGGATAAGTATATGATCTATCAGCTAATTGCAATGTAATGTTGGTTGGTTTCACTTCTTTTATTCCCAATTTCTTCATGGTAGCTAATGGCATTAAGTTAATGCTTGCTCCCAAATCACACAATGCCTTTCCCACAGTACAATTTCCTATCTCACAAGGTATGCTAAGGATCCTGGATCCTTGAGTTTTTGAGGAAGCTTTCTTTTAAGAATGGCACTGCATTCCTTTGTTAATGGCATTATCCTATCATGTTCCAATTTCCTTTTCTTGGAGGGCAATTCCTTCATGAACTTGGCATAAGATGACATCTGCTCCAAGGCTTTTGCAAAAGGAATGTTGATCTTATCAATTTCTTGAACACATTCAGAAATCTTTCAAACTGCTCAACTTCCTTAGGATTCTGCATTCTTTGACGATAAGGCAACCTCTTATAATTTTCTAAATCTATTAGTTTGCAGGCATCCTCAAAAAGCTACTTCTTGGTCTTTCTCTCAGAATTTGTATGAGCTTCTCCCTTATTTTTTGAATGTTCTCTCTTAAGTAACTTGAAATTTCCTTGCTGCAAATCTTTTTCTCTTCTTCCTTTTTCTGTTGCATTACTCACTTTCTTTTCTGCAGATTTTGGACTGGTTACCACAGCTCCACTCCTTGTGGTTATAGCTTGACACTGCTCTTTTAGATTTATCATTGTGTTACTTGGAAATCTCCCTTCATCTCTATTTGTTAGTTGTTTAGCCAGCTGTCTAATTTGAGTTTCTAACTTCTTCATGGAAGCTTCTTGATTTTTAATGCTGGTTTGAGTGACTTTCATAAACTACATCATTATTTCTTCAATTTCATTCATCCTTTCATTCATAGGTCTAGCTGAATTCTGACTCCTTTGAAATTGCATAGAAGAATTTCCTTGAAAATATTGTTGCTGTTGTGAAGTTCCTACATTAAAAAATGGAAAAGAGGGATTAGTGTTTTTCACAGCAGAATTTTAAGGATTCCATTTATAAAATTGTTGATTCCTGTTATTTGAATGTTGGAATCTAGGAGGAAATGATTGTTGAGGATAAGATTGTTGTTGTCTTTGATAATTCCCAATGTAATTGACTTGCTTTTGTGGATCTGGTGTAGGTACATCACATGCACTATTAACATGATTCTCTCCACAAAAATCACAGGTCAATTGATTGGTTACCACATTTCTGGCTTGTAGATTGTTGATCTGCTGAGTCAAAGCTACTATTTGCTCAGAAAATAATTGATTCTGCAGCTAATTCTGTGCAAGAAAGGTTTCTATAACTTTGGCTTCATATCCATTACTTCTCCCTGCATTTCTTGAGTTGGAATTCTGGTACATAGATGAAGCCATCATCTCAATGATTCTTTGAGCTTCTTCTAAAGATTTCATGCTTAAAGAACCTCCTGCAACTGCATCCACCATGGTTCTAGTCACTACATTTATTCCATTGTAAAAGGTCTCCAACTGCATCCACTCTGGAATACAATGATGTGAACATCTTCTCAATAACTCTTTATATCTTTTCCAGGCTTCATATAACGATTCTCCTTCCTACTACACAAAGGATGTGATTTCTCCTCTCAGTTTGGCAGCTTTTGATGGAGGAAAATACTTGGTTAAAAATTTGCTCACAAGCTCTGTCCATGTGGTGATGCTCCCTTGAGGCTGTGCTTGTAACCAACATTTGGCCTTATCTCTCAAAGCAAATCGAAATAGCCTCAATCTTATAGCATCTTCACTAACTCCATTTATCCTTATAGTGTCACATAACTGTAGAAAATTAGAAATATGCAGGTTAGGATCATTAGAAATTCCATCATAAAATTGATCCTGTTGTACCAAATGAAGTAAGGCTGATTTTATTTCAAAGTGATTAGCTTGAATAGTTGGTCTAACTATTGAAGAGTTATAGTCTTGCATATTTGGAATTGCATAATCTCCTAGTGTCCTCATCCTTTGTTGTTCTGCCATTTCAATTTCTGGAGTTGGCTGTCCTAAAGGTGAATGTGTTCTATTTGAACTAGGAGCAATTTGAATCTCTGGAGAATGTATCACTTCTAAATCACTATTGCCTCTTAAAGAACTTTATGCTCTAGCCTCTTTTCTTAATCTTCTTAAAGTTTTATCTATGTCAGGATCAAAGACAAGAGTAGATTTATTTTTATTTTTACCACGCATATACAATTAAAACACAGATATAGTAGAAAGAAAACAGAAAATTGCACTAATTCATAGTATATAAATACAAAGTAACTACTTTGTATGATATAAAATCTATCAGAATTTGAAACTATACAAATACAGAATTAACTATCAATTTATTGCAGAACAGAAAAATTTTAATTGTAATATAATATTGCAGAAAATTTAAAGAAAATAAATGCTCAATCTAGTTATTTTCCTGTTACTAATGATATTGAAAATAAATATCCCACAGCAACGGTGCCAAAAACTTGTCACTATCTTAACAGAAGTAATTTTGACTAGCAAGTATACTAGTGTTATTGTAGAAAGTAATAAAATGTTAAAACTGTGTTTTTAGTGCCAAGGAATAAAGTTCTCAATTATCACTCCATAAGTCCACAATTAGTTGAACCTCACGAATTTCAGATGAAGTTTGGATGCAAAAGTAACAAATATTGAACTCAAAAAATAAAACAGAACAATGAACATCAAAGTATACATTTGACAGATGTAGAAAACATAGTTAGGGACTTGTTTCACAAAACTTTAATGTTGATTCAATAATGTTCTGAAATTTCAAGTATTTAGATGGAATGACAATCAGTTCCACGTTTTATTATTCAAAGGTTAATTCCTTAACTTAATGAATCTAACATTTAACTAAATCACTCTAATTTCTTAGATTTGGTTCAATTAAATGTTGCATTAAGCATTAGAAACCAGAAGATTGCAAGATCAAGATATCTTATCCCTAAGAAATCAATAACCTTGGTAATTGATTCAAGTCTGAGAAATAAATTCAACTTCCATTGATAAGAGTTCCTCTGTAATTTGTTAATCAAATTTTCATTCAATCACTATGTGAATAACAGAATCAATTACTCAATCCAATCCAATACTCAAAGTTTAGATCCAAAATCAATTCAACATTTCCATTTCAGATTCACAATCCCTAACTACAAAGATTTTAAGCAACCATTACAAAATGAGAAGAGAAAGAAAGAGAAGAAGAAGATGAATGAAGAAGCATCTTCAAGCCAATCTTCAATCTGATTCCTCAAGATTTGAAGCTTGGTGTTTGTCCCTAATCTCTCTCTCAGACCCTCTCAACAAAGAAAACAAGTGCAAAGTTAAAATGAACAAAAGATCCTAAGATATCTGAGCTAATTCATATTTATAGAATTCTCGCCTTTCTGGCGTGATCACTATTCTTCATAAAAGTAGTCACGCAGAGGTTGAGATTTGCGCGTGTTCACTTTTGTTGATAAAAGGAGACACGCGTAACTTTGCAGTGTTAGAGGTCTCTCTAGAACATTTACTTTTGTGAACAAAAGTGATAACGCATAGCTTGCTTTCCTAAAGGCTTCTTTGGAACGATCACTTTTGCCAGGAAAAGTGATCACGCGCGCCCTTGCTATGCTGGAGCTTCTTTGGAACGCTCACTTTTGCTAGGAAAAGTGATTATGCATGCTTTGCTATGATTGAAGTTTCTCTGGAACCATTACTTTCATCAGCAAAAGTGATCATGCGCAGGTTTCCCTTCACTTTCAAGCTCTGGAAGATCACTTTCATCAGCAATAGTGATCACGTCCAACTCTTGCTTCATTAACCTTGTTCCTTCATTCCAGTTTTTGCTTCTTTTCTTCTATCTTTCCTTTGATTTTCCAATCTCATGAACTTAGCTTAGAATTTCCTACAAAAATATGATTGAATCATTAATTTCTATATAGAAAATTCATAAATTCTAAAACAACTATGTGTTTAGAGAAAACTTTAATCATTCTATTATTTTTATGAGTTTTTCTGCTTTTTCCTACATATTTTCCTTATCAGAGATATTAAAACTAAGGTAAAATACTAGTAAAATATGGATTTATCATGTCGCACTTAAAATTTCAAGTGAGTTGAATTACAATGACTTTACATACTAGTTGTTGACACTTAATTGATTAGAAAGATATTGCAAGTGGAATGTGCCCATGGTTTGACATTTCTTCTTTTGAAAAATGATGGAACAAAGTTTGAAGAGTTTGAGGATGGTGCAATTTGGTTATCACCTTTCTTTTTGTCTTGGTTTGCAAAGCAAAAGGTTTGCACCAGTAACACATTTGTTTGGAAAACAAAGCTCTAATGCTCATGGTGTAACATCCTCATTTTAGGTGGTGTTTATTAATGGATTATTAAGTGATGTTAGATAATGTTGGTACATGTTAAAAAAAAGGATTTTTTAATTGTTTAGTACAGTTCTGGTGTAGAGGAATCTCGCTCAAACAAGACTGAACATCCAGAACCATCCCTTTCTGGAGCATTCTTGCTCAAGCGAGAATAGATCAAGTCACCCCAACTGTCACCTCGCTCAGGCAAGATAGAGCTTGTCCAGGCGAGGAGTCTCAGGAAAATTTGGTAACTCTTTGGATGTCTTTTTGATCAAGCGAGAATGGTCTCGCTCAAGTGAGAATATCATAAAATGGTTGGGGAAATCACTATCTGTATATCTTGCCTAGGAAAAATATGTCTTGCTCAAGCAAGAACACACGAACTAAGGGTTATTTAAGGGATTTCCAGCATGAGAGTTTTCATTTCTTAACCTCAATTACGTTTTCCTTCATTTTTCTCAAGATTCCCACTTTCTTTCCTCTGAAAAAGCTCCTATAAGTTTGAGTTTAGATTTTTCTATTTGTTTCTTTTCAAGTTCTAATTTTTAAAGGACTTTTGTTTTAAATGATTCTCTTCATCAATATCTCTCTAGATCTTCATATAAAGGTAAGGAGAGTTCTATCCCATCATTAGAATGTAGTTATTATACTCTGGAAACCCTAGTGGTGTTCTTTTCTTGCTATGAACATATATATTAGAAAGAAAATTTTAGGGTTGTGATAGGTTGATTATGCATATTTCTCTGACCTTAGGTGATTAAGTTGATGTGTACTTGATTATTCTTGAGCTGTTATGAAGTATAATTGGATGTAATATATGATTTGGGCTGAGTCCAGCGGTATTAGACCTCCAGCAAATTGATTGATGACTTGATTATATACGTGAATGGTATGGCAATGTAATTACTGATCTTGTTTTTAAAGTTAAGTACGTTTGAGGGTGAGTTAAAAGAAAGAATATTATGTATGAAGAATATAAGTGTAATATGCATTGTTTTCAAAATATTTGAATAGAACTGAGTCAGGAAGTGTTAAATTCCGATATGACTGTAGAATTGTGAGATGTGTGTTTATAATGTGACACCCAGGCGCTAGGTGTAACACCTTGAGTTTTGTAATGGTATGTTTTTTTGTTGATATAAATATGTGGATTGCTATATTTTTATGTGTTTTATTTATATGATGATGATGTATGTGATGATGTGAATATAAGTATAAATATGTGTGATGATGTGGGTGTATATAAATATGGGTATATGAGCATGAGTGTGAATGTGATTCTGTATTGAGAATATTTGACTTATGATTGGTTGGGATTGAGTGAGGAGAATAGGCTAAGTGTGAACTGCAGAGGCATTCTCGCTGCAGAGGCATTCTCGCTATGGGTTTAGTTATTAATAACAAAATAAACTATGAAGAAGGTGATAAATAAACCCATAACCACAAAGGAAAACTCAAACAAAAGAAACCCAGAAAGGTAGAAGACGAAGAGAGTTCTCGTTCTTCGAAGGGGCGCTCAATCACTTGCTTGGACTCCCAGGGGAAGCTCATCGTCCTTGCCAATAGTTTCCAATGACTCAAAGATGAGTTTGGGTAGAACTAAGAAGGGGAAGAAGGTGTGTAGAAAAGTAGGTGTCTCAAGTGTGGAGCACAAGGCCTCTTTATATAGACTGTGCCTTGAGTTTCCAATTGGTTGAGCTCTATCTTTTTAAATCAGTTTTATCTACTATCAGAATCTTAACTGAAAACTGCTCCAAATCTTTATCTAAGCTTAAATTTTAAATTCAAAATTCAAATTCAGATTCACATAGCACAGCAAGGACTAAAAGTATCTAATTTTTCTTCAAAATATCTCCATTATGCACTAATAACAACTTTAAGCTAAACTACAACAATTAATAACATAGTTAGTGTAAATATATATAAAACAAAGTTTAAATGTATAAATATAAGTCATAAAATATATCAAAATATGAACTTATCAACTTCTTCATACTTGAGATTTGCATGCCCTCAAGCATAAGTCCTGGTTAAAGAATAAAGGAACAATTTGAAACATATCATCAAAACAAGAAACCCAAAATAACAGAGATATAAAGAACACAAGAGTAATGTCATTGAGTTCAAGTAATCAAAAGGCATTTAAAATTTTATATTCTCTATCTTCTTGCTCGATCATCAAATAGTGATACTCTACTCTCTGTTACGAATTTGGAGAACTAACTAGCAAGTGTAATAGGTAGTTGT